CAGTAGAACTTTTTGCCTACCTGGAATGGGTGACAATAGTTAAAAAAATTTTGGCTCTCAAAATGGTATCTGTGCCCTATTCGTTGGTACTCGCCGATACTGGTATTGGTATCGGTGTCAAGAGTTTGGTTGAGGTTTGAGGACCCAAATGCAGAGGCAGAGAGCCTGAGGTGATTTCTTGCAGTTTAATTGGTGAAAAAAGTAAACAAAGGCAGGAATCCAAAAATGCAACTTAAAATGTAAAACAAACCAGAACCATGGAGACATAAGGGGAAGCCGAACACCAGGAGCCAGAGAGAGACGAGGTAAGAAGACAACAGCAATGAGAAACCAGCAACGACAAGGAACCAGCAAAGAGTGACAGCAGAGGAGATGGCTGACTGAACAAAGGCAGGGCTAACGAGCAGATAAGGAGCAGGTGTGAGAGGGGACAACGAGGAAGCCAAGGGAAAAGGAACACACACACACACAAGAGGGTAACAGAGGACAACAAAGAAAAACCTGAGAACTAAAATATATCCAGAAAATACAACAACATAGGAAAACTAGAAAACATGGAGCAAAGTAAAACATTACAGAATCAAGACAGTGAAAATCGGTGCAACCCTAGTAATGACGAACCCCCTTTATGTCTGTCCCTGGCTCAGTAGAGCTTTTCTTGAAAAAGAAAAACAAATTAGATGGCGGGAAGGTTCCGATAATGGTTCTTGGAGAAAGATTTTGTTTGTTGTTTTTCAACCATGAAATGTTTTTAAGTGAATTCTGAATTGAACTGGGATCGTTTGCAAATAAGATGTGGTCTTGGTTGCTTGAGTCTCAACTTGCAGAGTTACGCACAAGCTGGGGAGGAACAGGTGTAAAGGCCCATTCATACCTCACGTAAAAGACGGATACGGATACGTGTGGAATGTTTCATACGTTCTAACCGTCGATTTCCGTACTTTGACACGAAAAGGGAGCTTACGCTTACGGACGAAACGGATCAATACGGAGCAATACTACCGGAAACGGTGGGGGCGCTATTGAGTTTTTAGTACAAAATGTCAACAAAATCACAAAGAAGGTTAGAATTCTGGGCTTTAAACAATGGCGGGATTCTGCCACCTAGAGGAAATACGGGTTATTGCGCACCTCAACGGACAGAGGTATGAAGGAGTCAACGGATAGAACGTACGGACAGAAATACGGACGTGCAGGCCAAACGTGAGGTATGAATGGGCCTTAAGTGTCATATTGTTCTGTTCACTTCAGTTTATTTATTAGTATTTTTTAAAAGACAATCAGGTTCAATATTTAACTATACAAAACCTAGTTCCATTTAATATTGTCCAATAAGAATAACTATACTTCAAAGTTACACTTTTCCTTGCTGTAAAGTCATGTATTTCCATGGGTTCTAAATCTATGTTTAATGAAAAAGAGTATCTGAGTTTTCTAAAATCACTTTAGCTGGACTGAATTATATTTCAGTGGAAGCTTCAGAGTCAAATGCCACATTTTTATATCATCTAATAAAGAACAAATGTTTTTTATGCATACACTTATGGAGCATAATTCTTATATGAATCTAATATGTATTGCAAACATCCAAACAATATCGCCTAACATCCCACCCCTTATCTGTTGCTTTTTCTACTGTTTGAAAAACAGATGTTGCAAATGAGTGATTTATTATTAACTCCTGCCAACTACAATTTATTAATCAGTCTCTGCCCTTTAGATAAATGTATTTGGCAGGGTTTATTTTTTCCTCTGTCTAACTCTTTTCACTCATAATTCAGCTGCTGTTGTCTGAACATTTGAGATGCCAAGGATGATCTCAGCTGTCCAATACAGAATAGTGCAATTTGCATGATCAAACAATGTACTTTTGTAATTCGCTGCAAAATCTGCACAGATTTTAGGCATTTCCTATCTGATCTAGAGAGGAATATTTTCCTGTTGATTATTAGGGCAGCAAACTAAACTTCTACATGGCCTGGGCGCAGCCTTATGTGGCTTGATGGAGGCTAGCTCTCTGATAATCAGCTTAACTAACCGTGCAGCTTATTCTGATAATTCTTCAGTTAACTGCCGTGGTTTTTCAGCTTTCAGAAGCTTGTGAAGCAGACAGTTGGTGTGTGCACACAGTCTGTGCAGATTAGACAGAGAGGGGCCTCGTTTGAAGGTGTCTCTGTTGACGGCTAATTTGAGAGTGAATAGCCGTTTTCTTTGGCCGGGGTTTGAAGTATATGCCTGGTTAGCAGTACCCATCTCATGTTCTCTCTCGCCTTCAGAGTGAATTAAAGAGGGCTCGATGTGAAGAGCTGGGTCCCTGCCAGGTGCTTCACTTGTCCCAGCCGCATGGGACACTAATTCTAACCACCAGCTTAGAAAAAAGTGAGGCCTACTATTCAAATAAAGCTTTCCCCATTGAAAACCCAACATTCTCACCTCTCCCCCCATAATTAAGCTCTAATTATTAACCTGACTGCCCTCACATTCAACCTCCAAAGGTTTCCAGCTCATGAAAGTGTCCATGAAAGGACTCCAATGTCTGACTCTTTCCAATTCCCTCAGGGCTCTTAAACAGCCTCCACACCCCTGGTGCCAGAGAAGATTAAGCATCTTTGCTCTCTCGCTGGCCAGATTTCAGAGTTATATAAACCTCAGATACGATGATGTCCCTCAAAATATTTTCCGGGCAGGACACGCCTAGCTGGGTTAGCATAGATGGCAGGTGTTTGAGGCACAGCTGTGTGGCTTGGGGGACTCAGGCTCCATGTCTAAAGCAGCATGACAGTTTAGCATATGAGAAATGATGTCCGTAGAGTGGCTGAATGGGCAGAGAACTTTATAAGAGGACTACAATGGAAACTACAAGAATGGTATTTGCAGCTCTGGTGGTGAAACTCACTGGAGATCAATCTCTCTTTAGATTTTCCAGGCAGATTTTTTTTATACCTCTCACTTTTTTCAAAGAGAAGAAGAGAAATAAGTAGTTTAAAACGCAACGAGTACCCAAATAATGCCACCATCCAATTATATATTCAGGAAAAGAAAGCAACCTAAAACAGAAACACTGAGCCAGGGGTACTTTCTGTATGAGGGTAAACTGTAGAGAGTTAATGGAAAGAAATAATTCAGATAATGGCTCAGTCCAGATAGCAGACACTTTTTTTTCATCACCGCAGGAGGATTCACTGATCATGTCTAACTCAATCTGACAGTGTAGCATATGAGACATAAGGACGTGGCGTCCTCAGAGTAGTTGCAGGGACACAGATGGATTGGGAGGGCTTCTAACCTGGAAAGGAAAGGGGTCCCAAAAGAAATTCATTAGTAGCATTTTTGTTTTACCGTTAGCTGTATTTAGCATAAGTTTCATGTCTGTTTATTTCTATTTGGCTGCAAGCATTACTGTGCCTGCCAAAAGCTGAATGCTAATTCTTCTTAGTCTAAACCTACCGATTTTCTTACTTCACTTCCACTTCAAGTTTCTGGATTTCTTATCCGCATACTAGAGCTCAGTGACTAATCACAAACTGGCTTCATAAAAAGTTTACTATTTCCCAGTGATGTTTTTTTATTTTTGTAGCTTTAAACGTTTGGATTATCCTTGCCAACCTCTGAATAACCATGGGCATCTTTCTATCACTCTTTCACTTTAGCCTTTAAACACAATCTTAAGAAAAATATTGTAAAAATAAAACAAAGGTGCTGACCTTGAAGCTAATTTGTTCAAGACAAGCAACTTTCCCAGCACTTTATTTATTAATAAACCTCTTAAAATAAAAAATGTCTCCACCTTAAGAGGCATGTAATCAAAAGCAATGGTTTCTGATTATATAAAACATGTAGTCTACAGAAACACCGATTTCACCTTTAAAATATCTTAACTAGTTTTCTCCTAGTCTCTCAAATCACTCTGAAAAGACAATATCTGGATTTTAAGTTTCTCCAAGATAGCTTTGTTTCCTATGCACCTCTAGAGTCAAAGAATTTTACTTTTGCTCTATGGTTGTTATACAGTTTGTCTGAATTCCTGCTAATATAGTTACTAACAAATATTATTAATCATATTTCTTACTTAGGGCGGAAAAAATTTGAAACAAGCTGTGATTAGTGAGCTTTAAAGGTTTTTTCCATAAAGTAGTCGAAACTCATTTTTTATTTAATAAAATTATGACATGCCTGAAGCCTTTAACATTAGAACAACTTCAGTCGTGAAATAGCACTTAACCTGTAATTATAGATTATTAAATTGATTGGTGTTCTTTTAGTATAAAGAATGTGGTGGAAACGATAACAAAATCCAAATATATATTAGCTTTCTACTGTGATGTATAATCATGTTTTCCCAACCCTTAGCAAAAAGTAGTTTATACTTAAAATCAGGCAGTGCACTTAGAGTTTACTTATTCTAAACTATATTTCATATACTTAACAATAGTATAGTCAAGTGTACTTGACTATACTATTGTTTACTTTATTGTTTACTAAAGTATACTTTAAGTATACTTTAGTAAACTTAAATATGTCCCAGTTTAGTTCGAAGTAGTATTACTTTAGTAATGCTTCAAGTACACTAAAAGTACATTGTTCGGTATACTTTCTAAACTTATATTTAAGTATTCTTAATAGAATTTACTTCAAGTATACTACTTTTTGCTAAGGGAAGTCATGTTTCCATTGGTTGATGAGGAAATTATGATTCCTTCCCTTGAAGGATGATGTTGACTCAGGAGGAAGAGTTTTCCCTTTAACCTGTGGGTTTCTGATTTTGCCCCCCACTCCGTCCTTCTAAGTTTTGTCCTTGGGCAAGATCTGCCCCAATGTGGGCTCCTTCCTGCCTGCTATAGGTGGTCAGAGGGCAGGGGGTGGCCGTCAGTCTGTAGCAGCTGTGACTACAATGCAGTTTACTGCCATGAGTGTGAATAGGGGAAGCGCTTTGGATTTGATCAAGTGCTATAAAAGTACAGTCCATTTAAAGCTCTGACTCTAAATCAGCTGCTGGGTTTCAGGCATCCAACCAGAGAACAAAGAACAAGAGACCCCAGCAGGAAGCCGACTAGGCTCTAAACCTGCCAAGATCACCCCGTTTAGATACGATGGTGATTAATATTTTGTTGCCTAGCCAAGTTTTTTTTTAAGCTTCTGTAAGTTTCCCATGTAATCTTTTAGCCTGTTTGTTTTCTCTATTAGACAGACAGATCTTTCAGCCAGTCCCAAATCCCAAAACAGGATCCCGCTTGCTGCACATCCTAAATGGACTTTTTGTTGGAACAGTAGCTGTTGTAGGAGCTGCTTTGGCAAGAACTCAAAGTAAGTTCTGTAAAAGAAGCCCAGTCACAATTATTTATTTGCTGGCAACACTGGTGTGGAAAGTTAATGTGCAAAAATAGTTCTTAAACCTTAAACTCCTCCTCTTTTTCCTTTTTCCCAGAAGCTGTGCTCTGTAGTTAGTATTTTAGGTTTTACCTTTTCGTTTGTTTTTAAATCACTAATGAGTTGGGCACAGTGTGACTAATCATAAATATATTCCTTGGCTGTATCAAATATTAAGTAATTTAATAACTACCTTTGATTAATGCCAAATTAATCTTAGTCTAGGAAATAAACAGTTTCTTTAAGTTTCTGATATAAATTGTTTGATTGGATGGAAATAACCAATTAAACAGTAACTTTAAAAGATAACAAGATGAATTCTTTCAATTAATTTATTTGGTTTGGCTTGTCAATGCTTATGCTACTCAGTATTTGTTTTTTTTTTAGATATAATCACGGAGAGGTGAACAAACCTGTTCATTGTGACACACTGTTTGTTAAAACATTGCTGTATTTAACTTGATTAAAATGATTTATTTGTTAAGAATATTCTCAAATAACCACTTTCAAAAACCTTCTTAAAATTAGAGACTGATTGATCTTAATCCATTTATGAGATTTATGAGATTATGTGATATCAACTTGGGATTAGAAATTAAGAACTTAGGAGTGCTTCAAGACTTTGAACCATGCTGCTTCACAGATTATCACTTCAGCAACTAAGATTTTATTTTCATTATGATGTTGATAATAAGCTCTAATTTTGCTGAGAGATTACATTAGTGTATCTAGTAGCAGAATAATCCTGTGGTTAATTTGCTCTTCTCATGTTCTTTTTTTAATTACCAACATTAGTGTTTTATTTTCCCATAATGAGCTGAAACTTGAGCTGTGTCCTGGTCTGAGTGCACACAGAGGAGTATGGGGTTATTAATACACACTGCAGAAGGCATAATGTGGGTCAAACGTGCCAGGTGCAACGTGAGTGAGACAGAGCAAAAATCTAACCTCCCTCATGTCCTGACATTAGAGGGAGTAGCAGGCCAACTTGAATCAGCTGTGAGTCTGAAAAAGGGCTTCGGGAAAGTCTCCAAGCAACATGAGCCCTCAGCAAACTGCTGCAGAGCCACACAAAAATAAAGCTCAACATGCATATGATTGCAATGTGAATGATTTAGTCAGAGAAAACATACAAGTATGCATGTATTTTTCTCTTTTTCAATCTCACTATCAGGATCATTTTTAGCGGGTTTGAACTTTGGTGCTTAAGGTGGTTGCACTTTAGAAAAGCTCTGCCATTTTTATTCTGATATTCCTCTTAAACTAACGTAACTTTTTCTCAGATGTTTCTTTCATCTGATATTGGATGCTATGCAACTGAAAGGATTTTTATTAATATATTTTTATGTTTGAACATTTGCTAAGATGTGGTAATCCGATGGTAATCTATTATTTTTTGTTTACCCCTGGGGACTACTCATTAACATCTTAAAGCTGAAATAATATTTCAACTACCTCTGTAAGTCTGTTTTTAGTTGAAAAGGAGATCAGAAAAAAGAAAAAGAGAGAGCAGGAGAAATTAAAGCCATCTCTTTAGTCACAAATTGTTGGCAATGTGACATTCTTAGGAAATAAGCCCTACAAGCCCTAATAAGGACCAAACCCGAATATTGGGAATGCAGTATAACCGGTATATGTTTTACTGAAACATGGCTGCAGGATCATATCCTTTACTCCAATGCCTCTCTGACCATACAAGAGAACAGAGGTTTAACGAAGGAAGGAAGAACCAAGAGAGGTGGGTACTTAGTTTTGGATAAAATTGAATTTTTACATATATTTGTTTTTGAACAATGTGGAGAATCATATGCAGTGGATAGGCATATGTAATATAATTTATAGATCTATGTATGTGGGCCTTGCAGCAAGAAGGTTCTGGGTTCGATTCTTGGCCCAGGGTCTTTCTGCATGGAGTTTGCATGTTCTCCCTGAGCATGTGTGGGTTCTCTCTGGGTATTCCTCCCACAGTCCAAAAACATGACTGTTAGGTTAATTGGCTTCTCTAAATTATCCTTAGGTGTGTGTGTGTGTGTAAATGGCTGTGTGTCTCTGTGATGGACTGGCGACCTGTCCAGGGTGTACCCTGCCTCTCGCCCATTGACTGCTGGAGATAGGAACCAGCACCCCTCGTGACCCCACCTTGGACAAGCATGTCAGATAATGGATGAATGGATCTATGTATGTATTATATCCTGTTTTGCTGTGTGTTCTTTTTTACATAGGAATCCACTGAAGAGCATAGAGATGGCTGGAGGTTTAATTTAACAGTCTTTCTAGCTATACCCAAACAACCACTGTCTCACCTCCAAAACTGTTCTTTTTACTTATGTACTCAAAGCTTGCTCTCTTTTTTTAACTTCAGTGCAGCTTTTTTGTTTATAACCTCATATAAATATCTTTCATACCAGAATGCTGCTGCACATATCCTCACTAAAACTAAGACAGTGGAGCACATTACCCCAGTTCTGAGGTCCATCCACTGGCTCCAAGCAAACCAGAGAATAGACTTTATTATACATCAGCTAGTCTATAAATCAGTTAAGAAACAAAATACTTTCAATGGATCAACTATTCAGACCTCTTGGGTCTTCTGGCTCAGATCTAATCTACATACCCTAAACCAAACACAGAGAATAAGCTATCAGTTTTTATGCTCCACTAATCTAGAATAAACTCCTTGAAAATATAAAAGCGCTGAAACCCTCAATTGCTTTAAATACAGATTAAAAATGTATTCGTTTAGAGTATCCTTTGACTTTTCTATATAAAAGTTATTACATAAGTTTTCTGTTCAACTTTCCTTTCATTTTCTTATCAATTATTTTATCAGTTTTTTATAACAATTTCAAGGATTTATCTTTATTCTCTTTAATTATCCAGTTCACCTTTGTGCCACTGTAATGTACCTTTTCTAGTTTTCCTAGTTTATCACATATATAATAAAATTCTGCTTGTAGAAAATCACCAAGTTGACTGACTCTGATTGCAGGTCCCTAAATTACCTCCAGACTTTGTCAAAAATAGCCTGCTAAATGAAGGGTGGCTAATGAAGCTGAGAGCTATGCATGCATGGATCCAACCATCCTACCATCAATACAGCACAGACCATATAAGGCTTACATTTATGTGAAATCACTGTTTTTTTAATTCCCTCACCCCCTCCATACCAGCCCAACACACAACTAATGTGTTAAAAAACATGATTGTTATGTTTTGACATGTTTTCTAGCTGATTTATGAGCAGCTGAAACATCTTTTCTCTAGTTTATTTCTCCCACGTTGTGAGGGATTTGATAAAGTGGAATTCTTTTGGTCTCTGCGCTATTTGTTTCCACCATGATTGTAAAGCTGCATTTGTTGTTTCATCTCCTTCTTTTTCCAGATGGGAGCTATTTGAATAGGCATGCAAAGCACAGATCAGACCAAACTCCCCGGTGCTTTAATCAAAAAGACTTTTAAGGAAAACTTTACTTCACAATGAATAATGAGTAGATAGTGGCTACTTAGTAGAACTTGCACTGTATTTTTTTTTTTTTTTTTGTCTCCTTAGGAGCAAGCAGGGGACAGTGCTGCCATCGACTGAATGCTGTTATGCCTGAAAACACAATGAGGCCTATTGAGAGACCCATGAAGAAATATCCCACGCCCACAGAGTCAAGAAGACACACAGGCCCATCCAGCACAAGAACAAAAGGCAGTGCTTACACTGTAGTAAAAATCAACAACAAAGGAATCAACATACCTGTGCAGAATTGGAAACATACTCATGATTTTTTTTTCTTATTCATTCTCTAAACAATGTTTTTTGCAAGATTCATCCAGTTCAATTTCAGAAAATGCTAAAAACCAAATTAGAAACTTAGTCCAACGGGCTGCGAAAAATTATTTGCTGCCTCATAGATTTGTTTTGTTTTTGTTCTAAATGAAAAGTTTAAGTTTATAAAATAGATTTAATATAAAAAGCTTGCAAGAGCATGTTGCAATTAATGTTTCGGTGATCTGAGCACATTTCGAGTTCTGTGCCAGGGGCTTCCCTGGACCCGCCGAGGAAGGCAGAGCCAGCAGAGAAATTAGAAGCAGACATAGAGGCCTCAACAGGTCCAACACGGCAAACAGCACTGCAGAACATTCAGGGTTACTCGCTGCAAGTTGTCTAACAAGCCTGTAGAACGGATCGATTCTTTTACATGACTGTTAAAGTCTGCATTCAGCCTCTGTCTGTTCATGTTATCCCAAACATTAGAGGCTCCTGTTGATTGCTGACAATTATTTACTCTCACACCTTTCAGAATAGGACATAAATCTGTATTCAAACAACTAATTAATTAAGTTATTTTAAAATCAGGACAATTATGTCACACTTTTCTGTACTTAACTGTACAGGTGCATCACATAACAAAGTAGCAAGTCCTAGTTTATGCCTTAATGCCTGGAAAGGTCTTTGTGTCATGAAAATTTTACACTTAGTGAGACCAAGTCAAAAGATGGCAAAGCTGTGAAGAAAAAAATAAAATATTCTATTTTCTACAAATAACCTCAAAGTGAGGGTTTCATTTGTATTCAGACCTCCTTACTCAACATCAGAGATGGCAAAAGTACTCACTTTCCGTACTTGAGTAAAAGTACAGATACTTGTGTTCAAAAATACTCTGGTAAAAGTGGAAGTACTGATTAAACTTCTTTACTCAAGTAAAAGTAACAAAGTACAGGCTTGTAAATTTACTTAAAGTATAAAAGTAAAAGTAGAAACCACTTTTTTCATGCCGTTGCCTACATTTTAAATGGATGTCTGCCAATAGGACTAGATCTCCGTTGTGTTCATTTTCAATCATCTCGTCGTCCATACTATGCTAACGCCACCGCCACCAAGCTGCAATAATTTGCCGCGAATGAATACCGCCGAATCTGTCGATTCATCTTGTAGTGGTGCGTCAAATGCAACGTAGATTCCCATCCAATTAGATTGAATTTGGTATTGATGATGTGAAAAATAATAACGGTAACTCCATTGAAATGATTCAAAACTAAAGTAACGAGCCAATTTTTAAAAATGTAAGGAGTAGAAAGTACAGATATTTGTGTAAAAATGTAAGGAGTAGAAGTAAAAAGTCGCCATAGAAATAAGTAGTAAAGTAAAAATATCAGAAAAATCTACTTGAGTACAGTAACGAAGTATTTGTACTTCGTTACTTCCCATCTCTGCTCAACATTGAAGCTAGGTTAGGTTATAGAAAAAATATAAATATAAGTCAAACTGAAATCATTATGCCTTCAGTGCAACACGGTGGCGGCAGGGTCATGCTTTGGGGGTGCTAGTAAGAGTTGATGGGATTACAAAGGGAGCTAAAAGAAATGAAATGTTCTTAATGTTGTCTGAATTAGCTAAATTTGTTTTGTAAAAAAGGGGAAAATATGTTTCTATTTGCAAAGCTGGCAAATACATACCCCAAAAGCAGTAATTAATGCAGCAAACATGTAGTTCCCCTAATGGGGGCTGAATAAAAATGCACTGCTCTATACAAAAGTACTTTAAATTTCAGACATGATGTTGAAATTGCTGCTTGGAGAATAAAGAAAAGGACTAAGACGACAGTGAAGGTTCATGGATGTAGCAATGAAGGACTTATGAAGGAGGTGAATGATAGGTTGCCTCTGCAGGTCCGAATATAAAAGAGAGGATTTCCTTTGTTTGCGCTATGAGACCACCGTGAAACACAATTATAAACTATCAGGAGCTGAATTTTGCAATAGGTTTTGTTTCCGCCAGATTCTGAAGTGGAACAGGAAAGGTCTCATTTCCTTTTAGGATTCTGATAATCACATTTCTTAAAGCTACAGTGTGTAATAATTACAGGCATATAAATTCAGAAATTTAATATATTATACATAACTATGTTATTTATCATCACCTATGAGCTCAGCCTTTTAACCATAACATTTGCGTTGCCTTAGAATTCGTTATTTATAATTACATAGGAGCGGGTCTCGCAGCCATGGAGGCTGACATCTTTGCGCTACGGCAGCGCAGAGGCAACAAACTAGCGATTGCGAGATCTCCCATGACGCTCGAAAATAACTACGGCAAGTTGAGAGAGATGAACTGAGACGGTACTGAACAGTAGATGGCAGTATTATGCCTGAGAAGCGTTTAGTCTGCCTGAAACCAAAGAAGAAGAAGAAGCAGGTATACTGCGCCTCGGTAACAAGAAAGGTAAACAAGGCGGCAGGCGTGAGTGACTTTGCAAACTGTTTGGCACTGTGTGGCCAAACATCAGACGAATGGAGGATCATGCCTACTCTGTATCACAACGAAAAGCGGCGGACACCGAACCCCCGTCATCTAAGAAGCGGAAACACGACGAGAATAAACGCAAGAGTGACAAGAAACGACAAAAAACACGGATCAACATTGGCACGGCATTTACACGATGGAAGTCACTGATGGAGGAAAAAGGTTTTCAAAGTGACGCTCAAGTTGCCAGTTTTCTCTTGGACAGGTAATTAATCCTATACACACAATTGTCTAATATCACTGCAGTTTTTGGAGTACAGGATGCTCAGACCTGTCTAAAACAATAACATGCTGCGTGATGATGCTGTTACTCTCCAGTATACTTATTCAGCAACGTCCCTGACGTTTCACAGGTAATGATTCAGTAATTTTCTGTAAAATAATTTTCTGGATATATACCTCGGTTACTTCTCTCCGGCTCCTTTGGAGATCTTCAAGCCTTTCCTCCTCTGCTCTCACCCCGCTGGCTCCCCTCTCTCGCCTGGCCCCAGCTGCACGCTCACCCCGGCCTCTCTGCCCTCTTCCTCTACCTCTTCCTTGCCTTGTAACCCCCGTGCCACAAACAAGACTTGGACTCTGTAAACGGGGAATATATATTCTTCCAGCGAACACAATCTCGCTGTTAAACTAATGACTACAATTCCTTCGTCTGTTTATATCACCATGCAAAGCAGCTCACCAAAACGTCACAACGACGTAGAAAAAATAACGGGTATATTTATTATCTTAAGTCTACATGAAATCTATACCCTACACAGACTAATGAAATACTATCTGTAAAATTATCTATGTAAACAAACCTCATCACTTGAGAAGGTAGGTGATGCGGACGTCGTGGAAGACATTTTGTCCCGTAACGCTCGCCGTACTGTTGGGGGGGAGAAGCGGTGGGGGGGAGACGTTCATGTTGCTGCAGTCTGCAGTCTGACCGCTAGATGTCGCTGAAAATTACACACTGTAGCTTTAAAGAACAAACATCTTCTAATGCTACTTTGAAAAAATCTCTGTTGTTCTTTGCTTTCACAGCAGAAATAAAGAATGTATTTTAGATTTTTCTTAGCCTGTGAGGTGAGTCGTCTCCATGTAAAGCCCACACCAACAAAGCAAAGGTAGGGAAGGTAATTTTACCCATCAAATATTCATGGAAAGACGTTTTGAAATGCAGTAAATCAGTCTGAATAATAGATAAAGTAACATGATGCAGGAAGACTTTGACGCTAAACGACAGGCGTGCTAAACCCTATAGATTTGGATCTTTATCATACAGAAGCTGTAATTTCATCAAATTTGCATCTCAATGTTGGAGGCTTAAGAGAAAAAAACAGTTTTACCAACTGCTAATTCAGACGGTTTCTCAAAGTGAAACGTCATAACTGTGAAATCCCTGTACTGGCATTAAACATCACGTCTGTGCTTCGTCACGCTGACATTTATAAAACACACACCTAGGGATAATTCTTCCATTGTAGAAACTTTTGCTGCAGCATAATAAGGAGTTAGGAGTCTCTTTTTAATTATTCCACACCGCCCCCTATTGATCAAGAATAGAAAGCACACAAACACCAGGCATTTCTGTAGTAAAAAGCTTATTTTTAATAAATCTTGATACATATCAAATGTAAAACAGGAGAGAGAGAAAACATTGTGATATACAGATAGTTACAAATTTAAATTGAAAGTCAGTGGATCATAGTTTCACAGGATAACACCAGAAAATCTGGGATTTTTGAGGAAAATACTTGGATATGCCTTAAACACCTAATTGAAGGTAAGTTGTCAAAAACAACCAACTTCAGTCCAACATTCACAGTCTGAACTCTATCTTTTCTTGGTGCGCTTTCATTTCTAAAAGGGATTCATATAAGTTTAAGGACATCTAGAATGCTGCATTACTGCAAGTGGCAGCTCAGATGACTGTGTCCTCTGACCAATTCAGCTGGCAAAATTTGACCATAAATGGGCTTCAGGTAATAACTCTCCGCAGATGGTCAGCAGTAACCTGACTCCGCCAGATGGATTTGCTCTGCATATCCATCTGGAAGCCTTCCGTTGAAGTAATTTTGGGAAGGGGCGAAAATACTGGTTAGCTGATTGGCCTATGTTGGTGATAGACGGGCCAAATAAACCAATCAGATCAACGAAGCATATGACGTACTAACAGAGCGACGACGAAGAGGAGCCAATTGATAGATCAAACTCTTGCCGAAACCAGTCGGGAGAAGAGCAAAAACATCTTTTCCTCTGAGAAAAGCCTCCAGAGCAGTGTTTTGCTCTTCTTTCAGTGAAGAAATACTCTGTAATTCCAATAAAACTTGCTCGATATCCACGCTAACGCTAGTTTCATCGGCTGAAGCCGCCATGTTCTTTAGACTGAACTGTCGCGTTTCTCGTTGCGTCACACCTCAACTCGCCACAAAGCCAACGCTGATTGGACGTTCGTTTGGTGAACGGCTTCAAATTTTCTTTAACGGTAAGTAGCCAGACTGATCTGCGAGTGAAACCTTGAAAGATCGCGAGATCAGGATGGTCTCACAAGGCTAGATCAGTCGATCATTAAGCAAGAAAAAAGTAAAACATTTGATGGCAAAAGTAACAGATGATGTTATAACTGTTAAGATAACTTACAACTTGATGTTTCCCAAGATGCATTTTCTTTTATATATAATGGACACACATAAAAAATGTTAATCAAAACCAAAATAATAAAGGTAACTCATAGAACTTCCTTTGTTTATTCTGAAGGTTGTTTTTTTTCCATAGAAAAATATTGACACATTTGTTCAGTAACACCTGCTCTGTTTTTGGAGCAGAGTAGAAGGACGTTTATCATCTTACAAGCAAAAACATGGAATATGATGACGAGATGAGTCAAGATGTGTGTATTTACAAAGAGCTTAATCAGACTGTGAGAACTTTAAATATCTTGGGTAAACTCCATTGTTTACAGTCTGTTTTTCACATCTTCACTTTGCTTTCTCGCTTCCACTCAAAGGGCTTTTTACCTCTTGTGAAGTCTTTACTGTTTTTGTGGCTTTCTCCTTCTTCCCCTCATCCTTCTTTAAAGGACCATCGCTCCCCTTCTCCTGGACCTCCGCCTCACTCTCAGGCTTGGGGGCAACCTTCCTCAGCTTCTGCTTACCCTTGATGGGGGTTGAAAAGGTGAGTGAGGACTTGATGAAGTCCAGAGGGAAGATGCCCACGTCTCCATCGAAACGGTTTTTGGTGACCTGCAGGGATCGACGGCCGGGACTCGTCACCAGCTTCTTCTCCTGCAGAATGAGGACGTTGTCAGCTTCTTGGCTTGCCTGGAGGGGGATCAAAAGGGTTAGGATCTGTATGCTGGATAAGGCTGCTTTTCCTAAAAAAGCACACATATTTAATCCTTTATACTTCTTTTTTTTTTTTTTTTTTGCAAGATTCATCCAGTTCGATTTGAGAAAATGCTAAAAACCTGATTAGAAACTTAGTCCAGGGCTGTGAAAAATTATTTGCTGCCTCATAGATTTGTTTTGTTTTTGTCACAATGAAAAGTTTAAGTTTAGATTTAATAGAAAAGTTCGCAATAGCATGCAGGAGCCCATTTCTCCTCATGCACGCCCTGTTTAAAATGTGCAGTTCTCATAGCTCATACAATCTTACAGTGTCCACATACTGCCGGGACTATATGGTCAACTTTATACCAAACTCAGTTAACTGACCATTTGGACAGATGATCACTGCTTTTTGCTTTTGCCTTTTCTTTTGCAGTGCCTGCGCCATCTTTGTTATTAGTCGCTGCTGTCGGGTAGAAACAGACTATGATGACAGCGGGTCGCTATGACAGCAAATCCCATAAGGCTTTGTGAGGAGAGCTCTCCGCACAAAGCATTCTGGGACATATCTACCACCTCTGAGGCCTTTCTTTTAACATGAACATGCTTAATGTCGCATCCGTCGAGCAGCGCGAAAACTTAGGATCCGAAGCAAATTAAAGGAAAATAGGGGTGTAAATAATAATCGTTTTGCATCGATGCATCAATCCAACAGCCGACGATCCGATGAATCGACACGTCCGCAAGAGAATCGATTCATGTTTTTTTTTATCCCCCTCTGGTCTATTTTTATCCATTTGCTCCTGGGCGTAATTCTCCCTCCTGCGCTGCGGTGGCGCTAAACCTATTTTACCCTCCTACCTCGCTTCCTGGTTATACTCTTACAGCAGCGTGTTGCTGTGAGCTTGACACAGACATTTTTTGATTTATGCTCAATATTGTAGCGTAGTCTGTGCTACACGCTGTGGGTCTAGATACGGCCGAGGCGGCGAGGAAGTGGGAGCGAGTCCGACAACGGAGGGACATGAGGGCCAAAAAGAGTGGGGATTCAGGAGGAAAAAGGGTCCCAGCAATTTCGGTCATAAAAACAAAACAAGCTGGCCTCCTGTCTGCAGTCAGCTACAATTTGGGAGAGGTGCAGCGGAGCGTCTGTGGAGGGGACGGGGACGTCTGGAGCCGAGGTATTACATTGCACTCATTGCACTGATTTTATGCAGTTTATGCAGTTTTTAATGCATTTTTCAGTGAATAAAGTTTTAATAGGAATAAATGGAGTGCAACTTTTCTACTTCTGTTATTTGCTGTTGTTTCTCAAAAAAAAATGCATACAGTATTTTCACGACTATAAGGCGCACTTAAACGTCTTTTTTCCCTCAAAATGTGCGGTGCGCCCTATGGTGCGGTGCGTCTTATGTGTGTTGTAACTGCGACTTTTGAGACCACCTCATTGAGGAGATGATGAAAGAGTGGCTGAATGTAAGGAGACCAGGTGTTTTTTTTTCCACTCATCACCATCGCTGTTAATATGTAACTCCATGCGTGCCCATCTCACAGCTGATGTGAAAAACATGGGGAAACAAATTAAGGCTGTGCTCGCTGTTCAACCGCTCGACATCGGTGTGAACCGGACCCAGCAGGTGCAGCAGAAGCAGCGAGTTTACATGCAAAGTCAATGGTTGACGCGCGTATAGGTGCAGCAAAAAGCGCGTTTTGAGCAGCAGCCGCAGCGCCTCGGGAGCGTTTAAGTATCTGACGCACCGCCAACGCGCTGCTGCTGCTCGAGATGGAAAAATTGAAGTTTTGCTGCTGGTCGCGCCGCATCAATCAATCAGAGAAGCTGATCTGGGAGCTGACAGCGAGACAGACACAGCGCTCTGATGACATTAACGCAAATGAAAAAGGCTGGAGATGATGAAAGGCAGGTGTATGTGAGGAGACCAGGTGCTTTTTTCCACGCATCACCATCGCTGCGTGCCCATCTCACAGCCGATGTGAAAAAAAAGGTGAATCAAATGGATGCTGTGCTCGCCGTTATCCCAGGGGATCTGACAAAGGAACTTCCACCGCTCAACACTCAGTGTGAAGCGGCCGTTCAAAGTAAGGCTGCGAGCGGCGTGGGAGCGATGGATGACCGACGGAGACCACAGTTTCAGGATAAGTGGAAGGCAGCGCCGGGCAAGTTACGCCACCGTTTGCGGATGGATTGTAGATGCTTGGACTAACGTGTCTGCTGGCTCTATTGTTCAAGCTTTTGCAAAAGCCGGCATTATTTCTGAGGAGCCGCGCTGCACGGAAAGTGACTCTGACAGCGAAGAAGGGGAAATTGGCAAGTCTGATTTAGCGCAGCTGTTTAATTCAGAAACAGAGGAGGATGACTTTGATGGGTTTGATTAATACTTTGTAATAAATACATGAATAAAGCACAAACATACTCAGTTTTGCTCCCGCTCTATTTTTCTACCTGAAAACTTAATTCAACAGCAGCCTCTGGGCGGGTCTCCTCCTCTTCACCGCGGCGGCTGGCAGGTGTTTTTTCATCTAAATAATCTAAATCTTGCAGCTATATTTGCTGTGATCAGGGGGAATAAAGTAGTTTTAATATGTTTTTAAGTGAGAAAGGCCACCTGAAAACTTAATTGCAGTCAGTTCATCCAGATTATCTATTTCTGTCGGAGGCGCTCAGACCCCCACATACCAGCGGATCACCGACAGCAGAAATCCCTTCAACAGCAGCCTCACACGGTGGCTGGCAGGTGTTTTTCATCTAAATAATTTAAACTGCAGGCACCAGGATACCGGCAATAAAAGCGAACATATTCCGTCGGCAGGTTTCAGGATTTTAAGTTAATTTAGGAGTCATCACAGCTCTGTCATCTGCGATGTGTCTGTCTCATGGCCAGCTCGCAGGTTTGATTAATACTTTGTAATAAATACATGAATAAAGCACAGTCATACTCAGTTTTGCCCCCGCTGTATTTTTAAAATACGCAGTAGAGGTATTTAAACGTAGTAGAGGACATGTACCTGTATATAAAAAATGCGCCCTATAGTCCGGTGCGCCTTATGTGTGTGTTAAATACAGAAATGGCACACATAACTGAGACTGCGCCTTTTAGTACGGTGCGCCTTATGGTCGTGAAAATACGGTAACTATTTTACTGTTTTCATTGATTTATTTCAAATTTGAAGCATTGTCTAGCCTGTAAGATGTAAAAAAAAACAACAACAAAAAACAAAACAATCGAATCGCATCGTGGTGTTTTTTTTTTAAGTATCAAAAACAATCGGATCGTTGGATCAAGAAATCGATACTGAATAGAATCGCCATGATGGATGTGATTTACACCCCTAGAAAAAAGGCTACAGGCTCATAGATGCATCAGTGCTGAACTACTGAGATGTCAATCTGCTCATTAGACAATGTTTTAGTCATAAAGGGTAAAATAAAAAGGCAAATTATACGAATATTTTTAAGTAAAGACTTACAAAAGGTCTCTTTACAGAATTACATTTTGAGGTCATGTGAGAAGTTTGACATTTAACTGTAAACTAGTTTAATGCAACAACGTTTGGGCTAAAACCTCTTTAGTGGTGCCCTCTATGGGTTGAAACATGACTACTGCAAATCAATTTCTCTAATGGTCAAAATGAAAAAACCAGAGGCCCACATTCCTAAATTATGGTGCGTTCAATTTACCTCAGACCTTGAAACTAAGAACTCAGAGAAACAACAAACGTTCCAATTTTAATTTCCTAAAGGAAATGCAGTAAGGGAATTACAGGAGAAAATTTTCTCAGGTGTTTCCAAGAAGGCCAAAATGGCTCGGTAAAGATTGTTCTTTACTACCCTGGTTTGGGTCATATAATCTAAATTACAATGACCCATACAGCTAAACTAGATAAAAAGTTGAGGTAATAACTGAAAAATAAGGAATTCCCTCTATGACCAAACTAAAACCCAATCTAGAAAGAAAATAAAACGGGGTAAAATTTTTGATTATGCAAAACAAGACCCTGCAGAAAATGTTTTAAGGCAATAACAAGAAAAAATAAAGAACTTAGTTTTGATACCTTAGCAGAACCAAAGATGGATGCAGTCTGCAGTTCTCTGTCGTCCTCCTCTTTCCTCGGGTGAATAATCAGAGTGACGTGGCAGCTGCTGTTGGTGGAAAACTTCCTCAGCATCCCGATGATGTGGTCCTGAACAGCAAACCTGGACAATAATTACATTTACATATTTTATTTAAAACGCATTAACCATAAGAGCCAAACCAAAAACCTATTTTAAAATCTAGTTTGTAAGGAGAATAATAATTCTATTATGCATCATAATTATTATTTAAGTAAAAAACTTGAATATTAATTTTTTACCCTTTTTCCAGGATCTTGGAACGTGACTTTATTTTTTTCAGGATATCTATAGTATCCCGTCTTTTTCATTAAAACAACTGATTAAAATCAACAGAATAATGCAGACAAAAATCAATAGATGAAACTTGGAAAACACCTACATGTTGCAAGCAACCTTCCCAGGAAACTGGAGGGTAAATGGAGTCTTTTTATATATATTTTTTTTTATTTTAGGCTCCGTCCACACGAAGACGAACCCTGGCCTAAACGCACAAATTTTTCACCAAACCAGCCTCTCATCCACACGAAGCTGGCGTTTCGGGGGTCTGTAAACGATCTTTTTTTTATTCAGCCTTCAGAGTGGGAAGATTCCGAAACGCCGTTTTCGCGTTTCCATCTTTACGCTCTAACCGCATATTTTTTTTTACAAGCATGCGTCATAGCGTCGCCTCTAAACACGCATGCGCGACCAGTATCACAACAACAATGGCGCCGTTGCTGCTAATGCTACTCACCCTGCTGTCGGGCTTCCAACAGAATCTTCTTCTTCTGGAATATCTCCAGGAAAAACAGAGCAATATCGACGACATAGTTCAGCACCTGAATTTGACTTAACCACGAAAATGGACCCGCAGGGCAACCATGTATAAATATTAGTGCGCATGCCCAACATGTCGTCGCTTATTTTTGCTTTGGCACCACAGCGCCACTTACAGGCCTGGCATACATTTTGCAGCGTTTTCATGCATTCGTGTGGACGCTCACATTTATTTTACGTCTCCGTCTTTACGGCAAACGTTTTGGAAAATATCAGCGTTTCGTGTTCGTTTTGACTTCGTGTGGACGGGGCCTTAATGTTTTTTTTATTGTGAATATCATGAAACATGCTTATTTTGTGCATTTATTGTTCTTTAACCATTTACGCTGCCCTTTTGAAACCGTGCCGAGATCAGTCCGAGATAACTGTTAAGTGTAAATGTCACACAAAATTGAACCCAACCGCTTCAGACAGAACCATACCGCGCTAAACTGGTACTAGTTCATCAGTAGGGCTCTCAGATAACAAAGACTGCATGAGCAGACCGCTTCATCTCCTTACAGTCAGTCTCTGTCATCGTGAAATATCAGACATTCATAAAAATACTAGCTTCCCTTCCTTGCCACGATTTTCAGTGATGATTCTGCTTAGTAGTGTGATGAACCTCAACGTCTGTCGTTGTTTCCTCCATCTGTAAGCCCTGATCAGACTATTGTTTGTTGTATCCACTTCCTGAAAGCCGACTCTTTGTCAAGTAAATTCATCCTTCTGCCTTCTTCACCTGACCCTCCGCAAACAACGAAATATCACAATTATACCCAAACTTCCACAATGTTACGGGCGCCGCCATGTTGATGTGCTTGTTTCCCTCTAGAGAGCAGTAGTACCGTAGATCGTCACTAGGAGGCGGGGAACCGTGCTGTTTTTTTGAGAAACTACAGAAAATAACAGTAGAGAAGTTGCACTCCACCTATTCCTATTAAAACCTCATTCACTGAAAAATAATATCCCTGCGTAATAGATTCTGCAAGACTTTGCATCAGAAAATACTGCACAAAATCAGTGCATAGAGTGCAATGAATTACCTCGGCTCCAGACGTCCCTGCCCCCTCCACAGATGCTCCGCTGCTCCTCTCCCAAATTGTAGCTGACCGCAGACAGTGCCGCAGACAGGAGGCCTGCTTGTTTTGTTTTTATGACCGAAATTGCGGAAAATAACTCGTGAAGTTAGACCCTCTAGAAGAGCGAGGTGCGCGAGAACGCTGGGACCCTTTTTCCACCTGGATCTCTGCTCTTTTTGGCCCTCATGTCCCTCCGTCGTCGGACTAAACTCGCCCCCGCTTCCTCGCCGCCTCGGCCGTATCTAGACCCACAGCGTGTAGCTCAGACCACGCTTCAATATTGAGCATAATTTAAAAATGTCTGCGTCAAGCTCACAGCAACACACTGCTGTAAGAGTATAACCAGGAAGCGAGGTAGGAGGACAAAATAGGTTTAGCGCCACCGCAGCGCAGGAGGAGATTTACACCCGGGAGCAAATGGATAAAATTAGACCTCTTGCGGGCGTATCGAAGCATCGGATCGTCGGCTGTTGGATCGATGCATCGATACAAAACGATTATTATTTACACCCTAGCTAGCATGGTGTGTCAACTTAGACAAACTTTATTGTCATGTTGTATACACAGAGTGTGCAGCTCTCATGACATTTCCATTTCTTAAAGGGCAGCAGTTATCAAATGCAAACATTGGGAGGAGGAAAAAAAAAACAGTCGTAAGGAACCGAGCTCGGGACGGTTAACTAATCCAAGCTCGGTCCGACTTCGGCACGGATCGGTTTCAGAGGTGCAGTGTAAATTGGGGTAATGAGTCGATATAATCAGCTGGTTTTCCTTAGAAAACCTCAAACCAATCTGGCTACAACTCTTATTATATACACTGTACTTAATCTGTATTATTTTTGCATTTGTATTTTTTTCTTAGCTTAATTTTAACTTAATACTTTTTTGCCCTGTAAGCTGCTGGTAACCTTAATTTCCGGTGGGAGTCATCCCAAGTGATCAATAAAGTCTAAGACTACATGGGAATTTTCCTTATGAAGCTTTGAGATGACATGTTGTGAATTTGGGCTATATAAATAAACTGAATTGAATCCTAAGGCACCATGAAGTTTAACTCTAAATTATATTTAGCAACAAACATTTTAAAAATATAAAAGTCTGTGTGATATTAGCTATGAAATCTATGGCCATATTAATTTAAAGGATGATCATAAAACTTCTGACTTCAGCTGTGGTTTATAACTAATTGTTCTTGACCTCATCCCTGACTGCTGGTTTGGGACATTTAGCTGTTTTTATGTTTTTTTGTACATTGATTTTCAAATTAATTCATAAGATTTTACACTGCAAAAAACGATGTAAAAATTTGTACAAATGTCTTAAATTAAGTGTATTTACCCTGAATTTGAGGAGGTAAATAAGTCCATTTGCCAATGGAATGAGTATTTTTACTCCTAAAATTAGATAATTAGATAATATACACTAAGGAATATACACTATAAGGAAAAATGCACTTATTTTAAGAAAAAAAATCACTTGCTGAGATATGAATTTTTAGCAGTGTAGCATTTTGTACATTTTCTTCTGAGAATGCAGAAGCTTGATTTCTGCTTAAGATGGGACACATTTTAAAATCTTTACTCACTTATCTACTGAGAGGCTCTCCTGACCCATCATGAACTGCAGGTTATCAATGATGACATGGTTGATGTCATAGAGGTAGACGGCGTGCTGCATGGTGTCCAATACTGTCCTGAAAACAAACGTTCGGGGATTATTTGATACCTAAAATGATAAACACTAAAAATGAAGGGGAAGGTAGGCGAGAGGCGACATTCCTGATCAAACGTACTTGATGTTTTGCTGTCCGTGGAAGGTCATGAAATAAAGTGGAAGTTCCTCGAATTTGTCCGCCCAGAAGTCGTACTGCTCCAGGTTTTCCTCCAGCCTCTGCATGGCGAACTGCGTCAGCATGGTCTTAGCAAGACGCACGTTGTTAATCTCAAAGCTGCCCCATAACGTGTTGACGCCCTGCATGCAAAGGTCAAGGGCGAACTCGCTGATGAAGGTGGTCTTCCCACTTCCAGTAGGACCTGGAGATAAAACACATGGGTAGGAAACTGGACTTAAAGCGTCAATTCAACCCTCTGCCAGCTTAAAAATCCACATTTAATCCTTTCCTTCTTCTGTTTCAAAGATTTAATCTAATCATTTGTACCAAGGTACCAAACCATCAGTTTGTTTTTTACTTAAGTTTCATGATTAGTGCTAAAATACCGATATTTTATGCATGATTTCCTTTAAAAAATTATAAGTCCCTGAAAACATTAAATTACAAGATAATCCAAGACAAAGGAGGTGCTTGTGGACTTCAGGAGAAAGACTGATCTGCAGCCCCTCTGTGGAGAGCGTGCCCAGCTTCAAATCGCTGGTTATGCAGGTAGTTGCAGACTTTAAATGGAAATCCAACATCTCTGCAGTTGTAAAGAAGCCCCAACAGCAGCTGCACTTCCAGATGATCCTCAGGAGGATCAAATTGAAGAGGGAGCCGCTGTCGTTCTTTTACCGTTGCTCCACTGAGAATGTGGTGACACACTACATCTGTGTGGTTCACCAGCTGCACCGTGGAAAGGAAGGCCCTACTTAGGGTTATTAACACCACCCAGAGGATCATTGGCCATCCTTTGCCATGCCTACAGCACCTCTACAGCACCCACTGTCTCAGGAGAGCATGCAGTATTCTGGATCATACACACCCAGGGAAGTTTCAGCTGCTGCCCTCTGGTGGACGCATCAGGAGGCTCAAAACACAAACAGCCTCAGAGAGTTTCTACAACAGGACCATTGCCCTGTTAAACTCGACACCATCAGGTGTTGCTCAACCACAGATCTGATGCATTAAAAGTGATCTTATGTTCAATAGAATTGCAAGAACTATACACATCTGTAGTTAGTGTCACATTCTCTGGATAAATTTATGCCTTTTCTACTTACTTAATTCAGTTACTTGTTATCTATGTAAGACTGTGCACTGAGGAGGAAGCTGTGCGAATTCCGTTGAGCTGGTGTACAATGTACCACTGAAGATTTCTGAGTTGAGTAAAATCACTTCACTTTAAGTTAGGGTTGTCACAATACTAAACTTTTCAACTCGATACCGATACTAAGGAAAATATTCGATACTCGATACCATTTTTGATACCACAAGAATAAAAACTCCAAATTTCAACAGAAATATTTTGATTAATAATTAAAATACCTCAAATAAATACAATAAACTATAAGAATAATATTTTGAGGTTGTATGCTGTGCACAGTATTAAGCAAGCTTGATAAAAAAACTTACAAAATTAAAATTAAGTTTTCCTTACTTGGCTATGCTTTGCACACATAACAATGACACTAGCCAAACCGGTTAAGAAACAAAAATAATTCTCAGCAGCTGCAACTGTTACAAAAAAAGTCTGAAACTGAAAAGTGCGCAGAATTATTCAATCACAGTGTTCAGAAAGTGCATTTTCCTCTATTTTGCACTTTAGATTAATGACTGTTTAGGTGCCACTGGTGGTGGCACTGTATCGATACTTTTTAAAATGAGTATTGTATCCGGATACAACTTTTCAGTATCGATACTTTTTTGAGTATCGATACTTTTGACAACCCTACTTAAAGTCCAAATGTATTTGGCTAAGAACATTTTTTTTTATATATACACATCAGATTCCACCCCCTAATCAGAATGTTCTGCTAGAATCTGGAAGACAAACGTTCCACACCGATACATCGGTCTCCAATCATCCCTCCTGTAGCGATTGTAGCATGAAAGCCACACGGCTAAGGAGTAGCAAGCCAAAAAAAAGGCTAATAGAAGTTTGGAAAAAAGGGATGGATTTGGCTTCAAAGCTGAATACGAAAGCTGCAATCGGGAGCCTTTTGGATTCAAATATGCAAAACTATTCTGTTATTCTGAAATACTGAGAGTATGTGTTTGAAAATTAAAGATAAAAGTTCTTTCTCCAACTTTTTTTTGTTTTTTTTATCTTTGTTTGACTCCCTCAAGGGGTCTGGAGCACTTTCACCTTATGGAGGGTGCTTGCTGCTATTTTATATATTCTCTCTGATTTCTGCATTTTGTTTTTGCTTGCAGTTTTTTGCAGCATTTTTTGTTTGCATTTGTTTTTTTATTGTAAGTTTTTGCTTCTATTTTTAGTTATTTCTGCAATTTTTTGCGTTTGTTTATTGAGCTTATATATTTTAGAGTTTGCATCATATGTACGTTTGTAGATCCTTTTTGTCGTTTACTGCACCTTTGCACCTGCCAGCCATCTTACCAAACCTCTGATAACTGCAGCATGACAGATTAGTACCTGTGAAAACTGTGAGTTCTCCCTTTCTGTGTCCCTTTAAGATCCGGTTGAGCTCTGGAAATCTGGTCCATTTAACTCCAGCCACCTGGTCTGTGTTCATCAGCTCAACGAACACGTCGTCTCTGAGCTGCTTGAAAGACACAATGGACTTATGTGCTGCTGGGATGGAGGCTTTGACAATGCGAGACAGGTTTTTCCCTTGAGAGAGAGCCTCCAGCGGACATGGCTGGAACTCCCCCGGCCGCACCAGGGTGCACCGCCGCAGACCCAGCTTACGCGAGAAGATCTTTGATGCCTCCCAGGAGCGAATGTCGCCCCCCAACCATAGCGTCACCCTCTTGAACTGCTCCAGGTAGGGCAGCAGCGCTGGAGGAAGGCAGCTGACCCCACGGGGGAGAGCCACACTGGGGAGCCCAGTGCTCTGGCTTACAGCCAAGGCGTCCAACTCGGAGCCGGTCACCACCACCTCCGAGTCCATGCGGTTCACAAGAGCAAGGCCAAACAAGTTGAAATAGGAGTTGCACTTTGGAACCGTGGCTTCATTATAGACGACTTTGTCTGCATCCACGCTTTGGGCGGAGAGAAGTTTGATCCCCTTTAGAGAGGAGTCTGGACCTCCAAACCAGGGGAAAACCAGACTCTTGGTGGGCTTAAAGAGCCTCACTCCAAACTTTTTCAGGGTTGCATTAGAGATCTTGGTGATCTGAAAAAACACAAAAATAATATAAATCATAAAAAGTAATTAAATAAAACCAATAATAATCAGCATTCTGCAAAGATTAAACAATCCTTTAGAGGAATGATAACCACTGGATTATTGCTCGCAAAACACAGTCGACAAATTTTCTAAATCCAACAATCATGTCATGTGAAGTTTTTACTTTTTAACATTTCCTTTTATATATAAACAAAAAACAATCAGGTCCTTTATAGGGATTTAATGTGAATAATCATGCGTCATTTTAAAACAGAATGGAAACAATGCAGGATTCACCATTTTATACAAATACAAATCAGAAAAAGTTTAATGGGCTTTCATAGTTAGCCCCCATTACTCTGATACCACCAAATAAAAACAATGATTTGGGGGTATCAACCAATTTAATTCAAATGACTTTCAACAAAAACCTGTGTTTTTAAGCAAATCAAATTTGAGGTACTTTACAAAACAAAAACATCCTATAAATGTCTTTGATGCTCTCCTTTCCTTGTTTCTTTAGTTGTGCATCAATCAGTTTTATTTACAACTCATGTTTTTAGGAATGACAGCATGTAGTGTCTGAATGTAAACAGGAAGAGGTATTAGACAATGTTTTGTTTCAGAGAGCAGTGTAAAGATGTGATGTAAAGAAAAAAAACACACCTGGAACATGGTTTTAATCAGCTGAGCTTCGTCCTCCAGGACATCTGTGAAGGGCACCGACCTAGACCAGATCCCCTGCACTTCTCTCAGCTCCCTCTCCCTCTCCTCCTGCTCCTCTGGGCTCTCTGGAAACCCCAGCAGCACATGAGGGCTGAGGGAGCTCTGCTCCTCCTTCTGCATCACCTCCAGACAGTCTTGGAGGTCCTCCCAGCTACCCTCCACCAACGTGTCCTTGCACAGAAACTGCCCAGTGGTTTTATTGATGAACAGGGAGAAGCTGTCCTTCCTCGTGGACGGGTCGATGAAAATGCTGGGGATGTGGAGGCAGCTGTAGCCATCGTGGAAGGGGATTTCTTTGGAGCGTAAATACTGCTTGATGTCTGTGACTGTGATGGGACTGAGTGGGAACTCTACAGTGGACTTAGCATCTTTTTTATAACTCCTGATCAGATTGTTAAATAGGAAGAAGTCTGTTTGCTTAATCCTAGGGATGCATGGAGTCCCAGGAAGCTTGTGGAGGGACCTGTTGGTGAGGAGGCTAAAACACTGGGAGGAGAAATGCCTCTGATGGAGAAATCTCTGGGCTGACACCTGCAGGAGACAGGCGGTGCCCTTAAGCAGCAGGCCTCTCCACATTGGCTATGACGTCAGCTCATCTAACCTGCAAAAGCACACAGAGAGGTGGAAATGCATGCAAAATATTATTCAGTGCATTCAATCACAAAAGCAACTTTTATGCGACAGTAGAGTAGTAAGAAATCGTTTTTGCTGTTGTCTTTTTAAATTAAACACCATTTTAAGCTAGAATATAGTCAAAGACGGGTATGGTAAAATTAGCTTAGAGGTATAATGCGTTTATTAGAACACACAATTTCATAAAGTACATTTTTTACCTGCTGTACGTCTGACCTCATTGTACCCCATGCTCCCTCACAGCCCGGGGTTTTCGGTACGCTTTAAAATCCTTCCGTCTGAAACAGCATGAAATGAAAAGAGACGCCCGCTTGTGCGTTTGGTTCAAGCGTCAGTGCCGTCGCCATATTATGAGTGGCTTTTTTTTGTTTTCTTTTTGCAAATTACACTAATGAGGAAATGAGGAAACCAAAAAAAAAAAAAAAAAAAAGGAAAGAAAAGAAAAGAAACTGTTCGCAGTTCCTTCTATGGAAATCCGTTTCCGCCACTCTGTTAAAAAAGATATTAAAATAAAAAATTCCTATTATTTTTGAGTTATTATCTCATATATATTTTTTTTTTTCTCAAAATAATGAGATAGTATCTCATTATGATGCGATACTATCTCATTATAATGAGAATGTATCTCAAAATAATGAAATAGTATCTCACTATAATTAGATAGTAACTAAAAAATAATGAGATAGTATCTAATTATAGTGAGATAATTTGTTTAATTTTCAATACCAGAGTGGTGGAGACTGGCTTCCATACTTTTCTTATAGGCAATTTAGAGCAGGTTTAAGTACATTAAACAAAAAATTTTGTTATCACTATTTTTTTTATTATCGCTCAGTTTTTTTTGTTTTTTTTTATCATTACTATTATTTTGTAGATGCTGTTTAGGTTGTATTTAGGTCTCTATAGTTTTTTATATTGAGCAAGTTCTCATGAAAATATTAAAGACATATTTATTTAAACAAATTGTTTAAATTTATTTATTACATTTATTTAAATGTAACATTTCTATATTTGCTTTTGCTTGATGCCAAAGAAACCCTGCCACACACAACATGTTGACGGCCAAATCTAGGTAGACTATGAAAGTTCCGCGTATGTTTCACACCGGAGCAGAAAACTGACGGACCGTCGTGTGTGCGTAGCCAGGAGGTTGTCCTCTACGAGTTTTTCCGGACCACTGGTTTCATAAATTGCAATCTTTTGGCTTGCTGTGTCTTTTCGCTTTTAAATTAAGCCAAAGGTTGAAGGATGACATCCAGAGGGACGCCGAGCCGCTTCCTGAAGAGCGTTCTTCAGAACGGTGTGGGTCGGTATGTCTGTCAGCTCAAGCGGGTCTCCATCATTTTCTCTAAGAAAGCCCAGAGCTCACTGGGAGTCAGGTAATGTTTAAAAACATTCAAATATGGTGGTATCTAAAAAAAAAAAAAAAACTTTTCCCTTTTTTATTATTTACTTTTCTGTCTAAATCTGTTAGAGGGCGTCAGAAAAATGCACCATTATTTAAACTGGTTTCTTTTTTCTCCTACACTATTTCTCTCTGATCACTGCTGCACTTTGCATTAGTATTGTTTATCTACTGCAACTGCAGTAATATTACACTGTTATAAGCTGTATGCAATGAAATTTCATTTTGTATACAGTCTGTGCATAAAACTGACAATAAGGTTTGATTAAGTTCAAACAAGAGTAAATCCATTATTTAAAAAAGCCATAAGAAGAAGAGTGTTGGAGGCAACTTCCAAAAGATGATGTTCTGGTCAGATGAGACCAAAAGTTTTAGATCTAAAAACAAAAATGCTGTATGTGGAGAATGCTGTCTGTTCATAAAAGCTTTTATGGAAAGACTCTGGGTAGTTGGGACCATTCGTCTATTTAACATCTATAATTGCTGTTCTGTTTAATCCTTTTAGTTAGTTTTAAATCCTTATCTCTTGCAGGGACTTCATTGAAGAGGGAGTGGTGGATTATGCCAAGAAGAACCCTGGAACTGTGGTCTATGTGTCTCCCCAGGCTTGTAAAGTCCCTAAAATAGTTGCAGAGTACTGTAAGTACATTGCTAGCTGTATTTTAATTTTAGAATCAGGCTTGTGGATTTTAAAAATGCACCATATCACCAAAGATATTCGCTCACCTGCCTTGACTCACATAGGAGGTTCAGTCACATCCCTTCCTAATCCATCGGGGTTCAATGTGTCCATCATTTGGGAAAGCTGTCCACAAGGTTTAGTAGTGTTTATGGGAATTTTTGACCCCTCTTTCAGAAGCAAGGTCACACACTGATGTTAGACAAGAAGGCCTCGCTCTCAGTCTCCCCTCTTATTCATCCCAAAGGTGTTCTTTTGTGTTGAGGTCAGGACTGTGCAGGCCAGCCCAGTTCATCCACACCAAATTCTGCTATCCATGTCGTTATGGACATTTGGAACATGGGATTTTCCAAAATTTTTAATATGCTCAAGAACTCTGAGTTTTTTTCACTGGAACTGAAGGGCCAAATCCAGCTCCTGAAAAACAACCCACCCCACACCAGGGTCGACAAACTAAAATTTCCAATGCGATTTCAGTACCCAGGAATATTCAATACTTGAAACCATTTTAGATACCATGGGAATAAAAAAACGGCAAACAATTAAAGGCATAAAATCTTATTTATTAAAATTAAAGACGGACCGTTATCAATCTCAAAATGGCACATCGTTTCTTAGCCGAATCAGAGATTTAATTTTTTGAATAAGAGTTGGGTTTAAACACTCAAACACTTTTCAAATAACCTGGGGAAGAAGGACAGGAGACGGCAGAGATGTCCTCAGTTACAATCTCCTACCACTCTCTGAAGCTCCTCTGCTGTCTTCCTCGCTCTTTATTGTAAAAAGCGAGTCCCTAGTTACAGTAGATCATGGTGTAACTCTAAAGGAAAATGTGGGGATTAAGCTGCAGCACGATATAGTGATGCACATACCGTAATATTCGGACTATAAGCCGCGACTTTTTCCCCATTTTTCGACCTTGCGGCTTATATAACAATCCGGCTTATCTATGGACTTTTACAGCTAACGGCCACTAGCGTAATACGGTACCTAAATCTATGGATTTTACCATCCACCATGTTGACGTCACATTTGCTTCAACACACAAGTACGGTAGCCGCGCACGCGGGAATAAGGACGTCCTCCGGAAGCAGACTTCTACTGCGAGTGGTACGAGACAGAACGACAGCGAGAAAGACGGACATTGCGAGCGCAAGACAGTTTGGGTGCAAACATAAAAAACCTGCGGCTTATAGTCCGGTGCGGCTTGTATATGTACAAATCATGCAATTTAGCTTCTGCGGCTTATATTCAGGTGTGGCTTATAGTCAGAAAATTACGGTACATTTCTTCATGCAGACAGGAACCTTGAGTTATACACATGAAAAATACTCAGTTCCTGGCACCAGCAAATACTTACTTTGCTCCAACTATAAGTGTACAAATAAATGTAAAAGGAATAACCCAAATTAGGGTTGCACGATATTGGGATTTTGGCCGATATCCGATATGCCGATATTTTAAAACTCATGTAGCCGATAACCGATATCGATACCGATGTTAAAGCTGGACAAAAATAAGTAGTCATTGAAAATAGCAGTTTTGTTATCCATTTCTGACACCTTGAAAAATAATATACTCAAATATATTTTCATATGCTGATATCAAATTGATTTTTAAAAACGCGGTATTGATCTATTTTACTTTCAAAATCTCGTGAAATTTCATCATTCTGTTACAAACTCTCGTGATATTTTGCAAATTCTTGTGAGATTTTGTTAGTAAAATAGATCGATACCGCGTCAATATATCAACATATAAAAATATCGCAACATTTCGTGAATTTTCGGGGGATTTCGTAGCATAACGATGACATATAGCAATATTTCATTAGTAAAAGAGATTGATATGGTGTTTTTAAATGGCAATATATCAGCATATGAAGATATTGGGATATTTTAATGTATCAATATTTTTTCCCTCGTCTTTAGAAGTTTTTAAGTCTGTAAAAAATATGTTTTTGAAGAAGAAGTAGTATTTTTTTTTTTTTTTTTTAGACTGATCAAATATCGGGTTAAATATCGGTGGGGTGGCCGATGTCCGATATTCAGTTTTAAGGCCGATACAGGCCGATACCGATAGGGGGCCGATTATATCATGCATCCATAACCCAAATAAAACATAATCAATTATTTAATTTAAGGTATTATTTTTTAATGAGCAAAAAATCTAGAAATAAAAAGCAGGGATATGCAAACAACACATATTTAGTATTGATACTATGCCAAATTAGGATTGTATTCAGATACAGCCTTTGACTACCAATACTTTTCAGAATATTGATACTTTTGACAACCCTACGCCATAATCCCCCTCCACCAAACTGTACACCTGGCACAGTGCTGTCAGATGAGTACTGTTCTCCATCAGATTTCCGGATGGAGAGGTGTGATTCGTCACCCCAGAGAAGACGTGCACTGCTCTGGAGTCCAGTGGCGGCGTGCTTTACACCACTGCATGCGGCATTTTGCATTGATGATGCATCAGTTTGATGCAGCTGCTCCCATTCATGAAGCTCTCTGTTCTTGAGCTAATCATGAAGGCCACATGAAGTTTTTGAGGTGTGTAGTGGCAGATTCTGGAGAAGGTGGGTGACTTCTGTGCACTATGAGCTTCAGCAACCTCTGACCCCACTCCACTCGGCCAGTTTACATGGCCTAACACTTCATGACTGAGTTGCTGTTGTTCCCAAACACTTCCATTTTCTGATGATACAGCTGGCAGTTAACTGGGGAATAATCAGGAAGGAGGAAATTTCACGATTAGGTTAGTGCTCAGGTGGCATCCGTTCACCGAGTTCCTGAGAGCAAGGGATTCTTTCTAAAATGTGATTGGAGCGCCTGATTCCATTCATTTGGATGGGTGAGCAAATACTTTCAGCACTATAGTGTAAGTCTACTAGGGCTGAAACATTCAGATTAATCGTGATTATTTTCAATAATCATCAACTAATTCGGTAATCGTTTAATCGTTAACTGGAGTATAGAGACCGTAAAACGTGCCTTTAGCTGACGAGAAACCCGTTAAGAGCAGTGATTATATCAATATTATAAAAAATTATTTAAACATTTTGCATTTAAAATGGGGAAAAAATGTCTGTCAATATGCTCTATCCATTACTCTACAAGTGGAACATTTTTAGTTTCACCTGGTTTAATTTCCTTTAAAGTCGTCTTTAAGGAACCTTTGTCTATGCGATTACTAATTGATTAATCGGAAAAAAAATTGGCCGGATTAATCGATTTGCAAAATAGTTGTTAGTTGCAACTGCTCGTTTATTAATTATCTTAAAATGAACACTACACAGTGCATTATTTGGCGCTTATCACTTGTAAAGTTAGCCTCTATGACAAACTTTGATAGATTCATACAAATAAGCTGTAAATGCAACATCTGGTTCTTACCATGCACTTCTGATTGAGTTTACGTCCTCTAATAGTGGGGTTGAAGGTCATATTGTAGAGTTGCTTAAACTGTTAGATCTCCATAAGAAAAGGTGCCTTTTTATATTGCCTCCTAAATATGTAAGTGAGAGTTAAATCTAAATTTATGTAACTTAAATTTGGCAAATTCAGTTACATAAATGATCAATGCAGAAACAAATCTAATAAAGAAATAAGTTCAGCAGTAGTCAAAAAGAAAAATGCAAAATATTCTTGATTGCTTCATAAATATATTTAAAAAACATACATGTTGTTTTATCCTGGAAGATTAATGCATGGATTTAAAGAAATAACTGGAAAATGACTTTCTGAGCATGGTAATGTAATGCTCTTAATGTACTGTAGGGGGCAGTGTGATGTCACTCAACTCTCTGAAGCTAAACTAATTTTTATATAGACTATTTCACAGCTACATGCTTCTGTTGATCTCATTCAGTCTTTTAACCAATTACGCATATTTTTCTCTCTGTTTTCCCACCTTGCAGTAAATGGTAACACGAAGGAGGAGCTGGTGGACAACAAAACGTCGCAGCAGATTCTGGAGGCCCTCACCAAGCTGACCAACCAGTCTGGCCTGGACATTATCCGTATCCGCAAGCCGTTTCACACAGACAGTCCCAGCATCCAGGGCCAGTGGCACCCGTTCACAAACCGCCCCCCCTCTGTCGGCCTCATCAGACCACAGAACCAACATGCAGAATAAAGACTTATTACTGAAACAGCTGGATCTTTTCAGAAAGGTTATTTCCCAAGGTTCCTGCAGACAAACCCCCACTTCTGATGAGTGATCTTATCATGTCCAGCTTCCTGTTATCTGGTAGCGATGAAGCTGCATGCTGAAGCATCCATGCAGGATTCAGGGAGACTTTGAGAGCTGCCATGCTGAGCAGCAGTTCAATGTTTATGCTTTTTTAGGTATCTTATCATCTGAAACATTTATATACTCAATGCATTGTGTAAAAATAATAAACAAAAAGCTAAATTAAATTACATATAGGTGTTTATTTAATTTTTATTTTAAACACAAAAATGTGTTTTATATCATAGATCTGCACAAAGTGAAGCATCAGTGGAGGATTTTGATGGTTTTAAACATTCTTAAAGAGTTTCAAGCTGTTTACACATTAACCAAACAATAAAACATTATATTTGGGGGACTTACTAGTTAAGTGAGTTGTGAATTTATATATTTTTTATATGCTTTATTTTAGGGCATTGCTGTAAAATGTGCTTTAAATGTTTTTTTTTTTTCAAAACGTTATGCTTTTGCTCCACCTTCACAGGTCTGCTCTATTTTCTCTTTGTCACATGAAATCCCTGTAGAATAAAGTCTAGCTGTAAGTTTTTAAATGCCACCGTGGGCAGCTCACTCTGACGGCATACGGAACGACCCTGCAGCCTAACAGGATGTGAAGGTGTCCTCTTTGCACGTGCTTAAATGCCCCAAAGCCTGGAGGAAAATGACAGATGGTTGCATGATGGCTGCAGGGACAACAGCTTTGCGTCGTCAGATTGAGCTGTCCTCTGTAAAATGACCTCTAACAGGAACCAGATTCTCACTGCACAAGCATGAGTTTTATGGGGAGTTTTTCAAACTTAACGAGGCATATATACAGGCTACAATGACCGATCCAGTTCTCTCTGCTAATCCGAACCCCCCAATTCATCATTTCTGACAGTAAACGCCATCAGTGACCTCAGAGATGTATGCAGACAGCTACAATTTGAAGCTGATAACTGCAAGAGGAATACTAATAAGCAAATATTTCTAGATGGAGGAGAGTTATAGAACCATTAAAGCTTTAGTTTAATTTTTCAATATGTTACAAATGTTTTAATGTTTTTTTGTGTTGCTTCAAAGCAACCAATCTTTTCTAAATAGTTTAATAACTTATATCCTCTTATATCCTCTAACTCTTATATCCTCTAGATTATCACTGAATGTGACCTCAGCCTCTCTTTCTTCATCAGCTGTGATCTTGGTTTCCCAATCAAATGCAACATTTGCTGTCAACCTAAAATGAGACTTTTGTTCTTGGAGCTAAAGTTTTTTTTTTCTCGCTCAGAAATGAAACAACCCAAAGAAGGTGAAGCTTTAGGCTACAGCTTGGCCAAATCCAAGTATACACTGGAAAAGATTGAAATCTGAATAAGTACATTTTTCTTAAAATTAGGGCATTTTTTCCTTAAAATGAGGTAAGCGCTAGCCTCGTGAGACCATCCTGATCTCGCGAACTTTCAAGGTTTCACTCGCAGATCAGTCTGGAGACTCTCCGTTAAAGAAAATTTGGAGCCGTTCACCAAACGAACGTCCAATCAGCGTTGGCTTTGAGGCGGGTTGAGGTGTGACGCAACGGGAAGCGCGACAGTTCAGTCTAAAGAACATGGCGGCTTCAGCCGATGAAACTAGCGTTAGCGTGGCTATCCAGCAAGTTTTATCGGAATTACAGAGTATTTCTTCACTGAAAGAAGAGCAAAACACTGCTCTGGAGGCTTTTCTCAGAGGAAAAGATGTTTTTGCTCTTCTCCAGACTGCTTTCGGCAAGAGTAGCCTGGCTTGTGGTTGTGTTTTCGTTGTCGCTCTATTTAGTACGTCATATGCTTCGTTGATCTGATTGGTTTATTTGGCCCGTCTATCACCAACATAGGCCAATCAGCTAACCAGTATTTTCGCCCCTTCCCAAAATTACTTCAACGGAAGGTTTCAAGATGGATATGCGGAGCAAATCCATTTGGCGGAGTCAGGTTAGGTAAGAGACCCTTTGCCAATAGAATTAGACTGTTTACATTTATAATAATAATAATTATTTAAAGTGCATATTATCTAATTATCTCATTTTAAGAGTAAAAAAATACACATTTGATTGGCAAAACATCTTATTTACCTACTTGAATTAAGGGTAAATACACTTAATCTAAGACATTTTTACTTATTTCTGGATCGTTTTTGCAGTGTAGTATATATATTCTCAAACTCCTCAGCTGTGCTTTGCATTCCTGAGACTGTCAAGGTGCAATTACAGCTGTAACCTGTGCACCTTTATCTTCAAGTTATCCTTCCACTTAACTTTCCAAACAGCCAGCTTTTTGAGCAATGACCTTTTGTGATTTAACCTTGCAGCAGAGGGCATGAGTACCATTTGTTGGACAAGCTGTTCAACCATGCTTAGTAACATACATATATATATATATATTTTTTTTTTTCGTTTACTGTTTCGCAAAAAAAAGTACACTTTTCTTAAATGCTTTTTACATGTTTTTACATGTTCACTAGGGGTGCCTCTAGGCCCTGAGGACTGTGAATGTAGAGTAGAGAACTTTACCAACTGGAGTCGAACATTGGAGCTGGAGGCAGATCTACTTCCTCCCTCAGACCTGTAGTTTATGTGATCATGAGCACGTAGAACTCGAATCCCACTAGATGATTCAGAAAAGAAGAGGCCCTGCTAATGCTTCCAGCTGTTTTGGAACAAAAAAGGCTTGGAAATTGAAGAGGTGAAAATTACTTTTTGATTCATTTTCACCTCGTTCCCTTTAATTCGACTGTGGCACCAATTAAAGACATCACATCCGCTGCTCGCCCCGAGGCGAGCTGGCACAGCTTGACCCATGCAAGGACATTAAAGGCTCTAAATAAAGTTGCTGTTGCTAAGCTACTGCTCTGAGAAATGGTAATCTTACTCCCCCCCACCCCTCTCCTTCACTGTGCTTATGTTTTACCTCTGCCCTGACAAATTCATGTAGAAATGTAAATGACTGTGGGATTTATTTCCCAACGGAAGACGCCGACCTCTCCTCTTGCCACGAGCTGAAAACAAACAAGCCGTCTTGAGAGCAGCAATCGGTTTGAACACGTCTTACATGTTATTTCATGATTTCTCCCTTCAGGCTGATGACACACATTTCCTGTTTCTTTCTTTTTCCAAGCTGAAGTTTTTTATTATTATTATTATTCTCAGAAATGTCAGAGGAAGTTTAATGAACTGAAATAAAACAGATATGAGCCTTAATAAATAAATAAAATGCTCCCAATGCCTTTGGGTTATCCTATTATTTTTACTATAACAGCCGATATAAATTTATTTTGAAGGCAACTACAGACCTATATCAAAGAGGAGGAAAATGGATGAAGAGGGTCACAGTTGATGTATTTTATATAATTTTTAAAAGATTGTATATATTAATAAACAGCAAAGGATAAAAACAAAATTTGTTTGGACAATAAATAAGGGAATGTAGTACTTAAACATAAAGCAGAGATAAATTACACATATTGAAGCCAAAAATACACATCTTGTTGTAGTTCTTTGTGCAGCGTGCATATTTCCGTAACTGGATGTTCTCAGGAGATTCAATTAGCAAAAAAAAAAAAAGGGTATTTCTTTGTCATTTCAAATTACTACATATAACATAAAATATTAATACTAATAAAAACTTTTTTGTATTTCAGATTCATATTGCATTTCATACAGAATATCCGTCTACCAAAATATGCATGAATTGTACAGTATTGGCTTCTTTACTCAAACTTGTACTTGACAAACTGAGGAAGCAGAGGCTTAGTATTCAGACTGAACATGCATAAGTTACTTTTTATCTAACACAAGAGAAAGCATTGTCATTTATTCATTTTACAGGTGCTACAAAATACAACCCTCTATACATTTACAGCTTTGATTTAAATAAAACTGAAGCCTATAAATATATGGCATTAATATAAGTATAAAAATATCCTTAACTATGTGCTAAGCCGTGACATAAAAATCCTGACTTTATTCCAATGTCTGCAAAAACACAAACGTGAGCAGTGTCTTAAATCTGTCACAAATTATTCAGCAACCATTTACTGTATGAACTCAACAGACTCCTTTAGAGAGAAATGTGAATGGAGGGACTAATGGATCAAACTAATGGATTAAACTTTAATGTAGAGGTAATGGGATGAGGAATCTGTGGAGGCAGCAGAGACCAAATTAGAGAACACACAAAACCGGTGCAGGAAAAGGGTGAATTGATAGAAAAGGAGGATTAGAAGCAGGAAATCTGCTTTGGTGGATGTGTTTTTTCTGCAGAACCAAAAGAACCTAAGCTTCAGAAAAAAAATAAAAATTGCAGCTTAATGTTTAGGCCTTTTTAAAGTTGATCAGTTATTTTTAAATATGGTGCATTCAATTCACCCTGGTAATGAGATGTCACAGTTAATTTTAGCACGTTGTAGGTGTTAGGCGGTAAACCTACAATAATTGCTAAATGTTTTGGTGCTAAGTATTATTAGCAGTTCCAACTGATGCAACAATTCAAATACTTTAGGAAGAGGTTCACAAATAAAGGCTGTACTCTTGTGCAGGGGCTCAGGGTTTAATATAATACAACTGCAGAGGGAAATAAAATGTTTTTAAATCTAATTCCTACTAGTTTAGCATGTGCAGCAGCGATTAGTGTCTTTATCAACCTGTAGAGATTGCACAACTGTAAGATCCTTTCTCTTTTTGAACCACAGAATTCAGCTTACAGGTTTTCTGACTTTCAACTGGGAGGAACAAAACAAGGACATTTCCACACCCAGTGAGGCAACGTTCATGGTAACATTTATGTTGGACAACATTTCAGTAACAAGTTTTTGAGCAAGAGGCCTTTCCGATGCTGCATTTACGAAAGAGCGTTGAAGCTACTGAAAAAAAATAAATAAAAATTTTAAAAAAGGCAGAATTTCAAAAGAAAAATCTGAGATTTCAGTCATAATTCTGAGATTAAAGTCAGAATTCTGACATTTTTTTTTTTCAAAAAAAAAAAATAATAAGTTTGCATTTCTGTTTTCTCAAGTGGCCATAATCTTCTTCTGTTTGCATTAGATTATATTTGGAGTTTAAGGAATTTTGGAGTTTAATTTGGAGTTTACAGTATAATTGAAACTCTTATTTTGAAGGTAGGAGTTGATCTGAATTCAGGGTTTGGGTGCACATGAGAGAGAAAAATATGTTGTTGTCCTCTT